AGGAGAGCAAACTACTGGATATAGAGTTCAAACCCACACTTTTAAAGTTTTTCAAGAACTTTCTAGAAACTGCCGATAAATTTAGTAAGACCCTCAAAAAGTCTGGTAATACTGCTGATAAATGTAGTGAGACCCTCAAGAAATCTAGTGAGACCCTCGAGGATATGAAAAAGGACCAACTAGAAATTAAGCATACACTGACGGAAATAAAGGATATTATGCAGACTTCCAACAGCAGACTAGAGGATCGCAAGAATCAAGTCAGAGATTTGAAATACGAACAAGCAAAAAACACCCAACCAGAAAAGCAAAATGAAAAAAGAATCCAAAAATACAAAGATAGTGTAAGAAGCCTCTGGGACAGCTTCAAACGAACCAACATCCGAATTATAGGGGTGCCAGAAGAAGAGAGAGAGCAAGATATTGAAAACCTATTTGAAGAAATAATGACAGAAAACTTCCCCTACCTGGTGAAAGAAATAGACTTACAAGTCCAGGAAGCACAGAGAACCCCAAACAAAAGGAATCCAAAGAGGACCACACCAAGACACATCATAATTAAAATGCCAAGAGCAAAAGACAAAGTGAGAATCTTAAAAGCAGCAAGAGAAAGACAGTCAGTTACTACAAGGGAGTACCCATATGACTCTCAGCTGATTTCTCAACAGAAACTTTGCAGGCCAGAAGGGAGTGGCAAGAAATATTCAAAGTGATGAATAGCAAGAATCTACAACCAAGATTACTCTACCCAGCAAAGCTATCATTCAGAATTGAAGGTCAGATAAAGAGCTTCACAGATAAGGAAAAGCTAAAGGAGTTCATCACCACCAAACCAGTATTATATGAAATGCTGAAAGGTATCCTTTAAGAAGAGGAAGAAGAAGAAAAAGGTAAAGATACAAATTATGAACAACAAATACACATCTATCAACAAGTGAATCTAAAAATCAAGTGAATAAAAAATCTGATGAACAGAATAAACTGGTGATTATAATAGAATCAGGGGCATAGAAAGGGAGTGGACTGACTATTCTCGGTGGGGTTGGAAGGGGTGTGGGGGGTTCTGGAAGAGAGTGGACAATAATCGTGCACCTATGAATGAGGACAGAGTGGGGGGGGTGAGGGTGGAGGGGGGTGGGAACCGGGTGGAGGGGAGCTATGGGGGGAAAAAAGAGGAACAACTGTAATAATTTGAACAATAAAGATTTAATTTAAAAAAAATGGTTACAGCAGCACCAAGCCCCACATGTTCACCACACACCATCCAAACCAATGGTGTGTCCCAGAATTCCCAGGAAAAAGTCCTGATTGGACAGATTTAGGTCACATGTGTACTTCTGACCCAATCATGGTGTGGCTGGGGGTGGAACCCACTGATTGCCCCGCCCCTGCCATAATGGCAAAAACCCTGCAAAATAGACAAGGAAGCAGGTGGCAGGGACATCTCACTGATAAGAAACTATTCTTAGCATTTAAACATTGAAAATACTCTCTTCAAAGTTTATTTTATTTTATTTTTTTAAAAATATATTTTATTGATTTTTTACAGAGAGGAAGGGAGAGAGATAGAGAGTTAGAAACATCGATGAGAGAGAAACATCGATCAGCTGCCTCTGCACACTCTACTGGGGATGTGCCCGCAACCCAGGTACATGCCCTTGACCGGAATCGAACCTGGGACCTTTCAGTCCGCAGGCCCACGCTCTATCCACTGAGCCAAACCAGTTCTGGCTACTATCTTGCAATTTAAAATCATTGAGGAAACTCTGCCTTTTCTTTTTTCTTTTTGTTACAAACTGGTGATCTGTGATGTAAAAACTTGAGGAATTGTCCTTAAGAAGATGCTTCAAGGATCTAATACCTAAAGCACATCCCTTGCAAATCCACGTTCTTCTAAGTCGCAAATGCTTCGAACAGTTACACACGCCTCCTAATGACACTCTCCTTCAGCTTCCGCTCCCTGGCGCTTCGGGACCGCGGGCTTCTGTGCAGAGATGGCCAAGTCCAACAACCACACCACGCACCACCAGGCCCGAAAATGGCACAGAAGCGGCATCAAGAAACGCCGGTCACTAAGGTACGACTCTCTTAGGGGGTAGACCCCAGCTCCTCAGGAACAGGCGCTTTGCCAAGAAGCACAACAAGAAGAGCCTGACAAGCTGCAGGCCAACAACGCCAAGGCCATGAGCGCACGCACTGAGGCCTTCAAGGCCCTGGTCAAGCCCAAGGAGCCCAGGCCCAATATCCCAAAGGGCTGCAGCCGCAAACTCAGTGGACCTGCCTACATCGCTCACCCCAAGCTTGGGAAACGTGCTCGTGCCGCATTGCCAAGGGGCTCAGGCTCTGCCGACCAAAGCCCAAGGCCAAGGCAGAAACCAAGACCCAGGCTGTGGGTGTGGCTAAAGCTCAGGTTCCCAAAGGTGCCCAGGCCCCACGAAGGCTCCACAGTAGAGGCCTCTGTCTGCCGACGTGAGGACGGAAGGACTGGTGGGGCCCCTGGGCTGCTTGCTGTGTGCGTGGCCCTGGTGCCCTCCTGTGCTGTTTGTACAAATAAACCTGTGGCAGGATCTGTCTGTCAAAAAACAAACAAACAAACAAACAAACAAACAAACAAAAAACACTCCTTCATCCTCTCCCTTCTGAGGAAATGGGGTCAGGAAACGGCAGGGAGGGAGCTGGCAGCATCAGGCCCGACTTTCAGATGTGGAGGTGGCCGCCATCTGAGGCTTGGAGGAGACCAGCAGGAGGAGACAACCCCCCAGAGCTGAGTTAGGGGTGTGGGGAGGGGTGTGGGTCTGGTTTTTACAGCATCAACTGAGCGGCTGACCAGGCCCACACTGTCCTCCTCCTCCCACAGGTCTTGTCCTGGGAAACAAGCTGACTTGCAGCCCCTCCATGGAGGCCACAGTCCCCTGACAACCCAGCCTTCTGTCCTGGATCTCATTCCTGCCCCTTGTCTCCCACCATTGCCCCCCCAGCCCTGCTTTGCCCCACCCCATCCCACCCCACCCCACCCCACCCCACCCCACACACCCCTCTCCTGTCCTTTTCTTCCATGCCTCAGGTCACTCTGTCTATCAAGTCTTCCCTCTGGCTCTGTGTTCTCCTGACTCAGTCCCCTCCTACTGCTTTGGCCACAAGCATATGACTGTCCTTATTCTCTGTCCCTCAAATGTCTCTAAACTAAAGGACTCAGTCCCAGTCCCTCACAGTCCTGTGTGAGGTTGTGACGGGGGCGCGTGGGAGGGGGCGTGGATGGGTCCGGACTTGTAAACAGAAGCCTGTGGTGAGAGACCTGGGAGCCTTCGTTGCCTGGAAGGCCATGTGCAGGATGCCCAGCTGCCAGGGACTCGCTCAGCATGATTCAGGCTCCACAGAGACACGGCAGGACAGACAGCCGCTGCCTGCACTGCATCCTGCATGGGCCAGGTCCTGGCAAGGGCAGAGGGATCCTGTCTGCAGGGAAGCCCCTCCCTCCAGCGTCCTCTCCAGGGATTGGAATTGGAAAGGCCTGAGGACTCAGTAATCCCCAGCCCTCCCCTCAGCCAATATCAACTTCAATTGCTCTTCCCAATAGTGGCCCTGAGCCTTTCTCTTCTCCTATTGCATGGGCTGTCATTTCACACAGCACTCCTCTCAGCACATCCTTGGTCGATGTGTTTAGGCTGTTTGGTTTGAGCTTCCGCTCCTATAAATATTACTGACTTTACGTGGCCAGTGGCAATTAGTGTGACCACTGCCCTCCCGGGAGGTTCCTACAGAAGAGAAGGGCATTTTCACTTCTGCAGGTGTTTATTGAACTGTTTGGACTTCATGAAACACTTACAGAGGAAAAAGCATTGTGTGGAACATTCTTAATCTTTCATGTTATTGCTTTGAACTTAAAATCTGTGTAAATAATTAATTTTCTAAATATAAAAATGATTCTGATAGTAATGAATACAATATTACTGTTGTGTACTTAGAACACATCATAGATTTTAAATGAAAAGTTAATCAGTCAGATTTTTAAAAAATTCCTTCTGAGCTCATTCGTTGCTTTTTACTGGATTCTTTGGATCAAGTTGGAGATGGCAGCACGTGATGCGCTTTCATTTCTTGAAGAAAGTGTTTGATGCCTCGTTCACCAGAAGACCCCCGACATTTAGAGAGATGGAAGTCCATCTTCAGTTTTTCTGATTCTGGATTGAGAAGGAGGAGGTGGAGGAAGCAGAGAGTGAGGCAGGTGGGAAGGTGAACAGAGCAGAGTCTGGGGCAGTCACAGGAGGGGAAGGAAAAGGGGCGCAGGAGGGGAGAAAGCAGAGGGACTGTGAGCCCTGAGGGGAGGGATGGATCTGGGGCCCAGGTGGGAGCAGGTGACCCAGAGGAGGAGACAGGCCCAGGGCAAGAAGGGGAGGGGGAGCAGGAGGGAGGAACCTCACCCCGAGAATGTCCTTCAGCTTCTGAGATTCGGTTTGTATGTGTTCTACTAGGTTAGGCCAGGGCTCAAACGGCTGGCCCTGGTTGTCCACGAAGGTGTCCCAGCAGTGCTGGAGCTCTATGGGAACAGGGAGGGAAAGGTGAGCTCCTTCTAGAGTGGGGAGGGCCCAGGTCTCTGACTCTAGGGACACACCCTCCCCATCAGGATCTCCCTGCCCCCTTTCTCTCTCCTCCCAAGGCACTGAGCTCATCCCTCAAATTCTTTCTTCCACTGGAATCTGAGGAGCCCCTCCCCTTCTACCAGGAAGGACCTGGGTCCTGATGGCACAGGGACCCACCTTCTCCCTCCTCAGGACACCTCTCTCCCCTGAACTCTCTCCTCCAGGGGACTCCATCCTCTCCAGACTAAGCAGCCCCCCTGCAGGCAGCTGACAGGCTTCCCCACCTGGATTCTCCTCCTGCCCCCTCTGTGTGGCCATTTCCCAGCCTCTCTGCCCGCCCACCTCCCACCCTCAGGAGTCTCATGCTGACCTTTGAGGGTCATGATGGCGAGTTGGGCCCCCGAGTCCCGCAGCTTTCGCAGCCAATCCTCATGTCCACTGAATGTGGTTTGGATGCCAGCAGCGAAGATGCGCAGGCTCACATGGCTGTTATCGTGCAGGAATTTAACTAGTTTTTGGGCACAGTTAGGGCAGGGGCTCCAGGAGATGTGCCAGGTGAGTCTGTACTGCTTCCCCTCATCCACGTGCCAAGAACGGACCAGACACAGGAAGCACAACTCTGCATGACAGGGTCCCTGAGCACAGAGGGGTATGAACAGGGATCTGTCACTTGCTGTGAACAGGGGAGGGTGGCACCAGCCAGAGGCAGGTGAGTCACTGGCCTCCAGCACTGAACTGAAGGGGCACAGCTCAGCGTCAGGATGAACGCTATTTCAATGTAGATCTACATGGTCATAGGGAAGGCAACTCACGAATCACATAATATCAGCATTTACAAAGGGCAGATGAGCAGTGAGGACTTTCCTGCATCAGCAAACCATGGCTCCCATGGCTCTGTAGCTGATCAGTCTTCACTTACCTGGTTGATATTTCATTCACCATAAAATTTGCATTAGGTTTGATTTTTTAAACTATTGCATTAAACATGGTTCTTTTTTCACATCCTCACCTGTGAAGACATTTTCCATTGATCTTTATAGAAAGAGTGAGGGATGGAGGAGGAGGGGGCAGAGAGAGAGAAACATCAATGTGGGAGAGACACATCCACTGGTTGCCTACCCCAGGCTCCACGACCCGGGGCCCGGGATCAAAGCTGCAACTGAGATAAGTGCCCTTGACCTGGAATCCTACCCTGGGCCCCTGGCTGTGCAGGCTGACGCTCTAACCACTGAGAACACAGATCTGGGCTCCATGTGATTCACCTTGGTACAGAGTTCCCAGAGAGCCTCTATTTGTGCCCAAAGCCTATGCCTTCAGGAGCTGCACCTACTCAGAACCTGCAGGGGGACAAAGAGCTGAGGACATCCCAGACAGTGTTGCTCAGTGGGTTGAGCAGCAACCCATCCACAAAGCGGTCACCTGCTCCATTCCTGGTCAGGGCCCAGGTCCAGGTTGCAGGCTTGATGCCCAGTAGGGGGCGTGCAGGAGGCAGCCAACCAATGGTTCTCACTGATGTTTCTATCTCTCTCTCCCTTCCTCTCTGGAATTAATAAAAGTCACTTAAATAAGTAAATAAATATAAATAAATAAGTAAATAGCTGAGGACAGAAAGGAGGAGGCAGCTGAGCCCCAAGGTCCTGGGCCTGATGCCACAGAGGTGGGTGCTTCCTCCAGGCAGGGGAGCTCTCCCTCTGCTCCCCTACCTCCAGCTCCCGCCTGTGCACCAGCACCTCCACACGCTTCTACTCTGGGCTTCCCCCTGTGCTGAGCCCAAGGGTGACACAACTCTGCGGGAAGAAGGGGTGAGGCCACCGAGGCAGAGGTGCGGGAGACACGGGATGAGGGTCGCTGCTGGGGCCACAGGATTATGGAGATTAGCCCACCCGCCCAGGGAAGGGTTTTCAACCAGGGGCTCAGGGAGGAGGAAGAAGTCAGGCCCACAGAGCTAGCGCAGAGCCCTGGTGGCAGAGGATGGTACCTGGGGACCCAGGAGGCGTCCTGGGCTACGTGCAGCTGCCAATGCACTTGTGGGGACAGCACCCTCCAGGCTCTCCCAGGAGTGACTGGAGGGGGCACCAAGGGGGAGCTCTGGCTCTCTGACCACAGGCTGCCCCGCAGGGGCCAGGGGAGAACGGCCTCTTTGTCCAGGTGCCTTTCCCTCTGGCCTGACCCCTCCTCAGAGGCACAGCAGGAGGGACAGGCTGACCCTGGAGGCTGGGCTGACCCTGGGCTGGTGGGCCCAGGCCCTGGGACACTGTGACTGCTTTCTGATGTGGGGCTCCAAGCTGCCAATCACAGCAGAGTCCGTCCTCCCTGCCTCTGGGCAACGCCACAGCAGCTGGGGGCCCAGGGACATTGCTCAGAGGACACCCCGCGGCCATGGGAACCTTCTCCCTGAGTGTCCCGGGGGCCCTGCCTGCTGTGCTCGCTCACCTGGTTGCACAGGAAGCCCTGGAGCTCCTCCACTGGGGCCCAGGTGTCACCCTCCAGGACCTCCACCTCGTAGCACAGTTCTGTTTCGTTCTCCCATGTGTTAGCAAAGTTTTCCTTGAAAGTGGTTGCATCCATCAGGGGTCTGTGGGCACAGGCAGGAGGAACCCAAGGCATGGGGCTCCTCTGGGGATCACCCCGTTCGCTTCCCCTCTGCACCCACTTCACATCTAGACCCGCAGAGGATGGGCATCCACTCACTTAGCTGGAGCCACCAAATCTTCCTCTGACCCCTTCAGTTGTTCCTGGGGGAGTCAGCCCAGTCCTTTTGTCAGGGTTTCCCCGGGAACAGTGCAGGGGCTCAGAGCTCTGACGGGGCCTCTCCTGGCATCACCGTCCTGCCCTCGTCCCGCTGACCCAGCCCTGCCATGTGCAGGCCCAGTGGCGCTGTTTCCTCTGCTCTTCTGGGTTAACCTGAGCCACATGGTGCATCAGGGGAAAGGGTGGCCCCATCAGGGAAAAGAGATGCCAAACTAGTCTTCTCAAATAGCTCATGACATTTCTTTTCTCATCATGAAAACAGTCATATCCTTTACAAAAACAAAAACATAGATCTGAATGTGACCTCCTAGGGCCTCAGTTCAGAGCAGAAAGAATAGGTTTCATGGGAGACGGAGGGAGAGGAGAAACAGGGACCCTCAAGGGTGACCCCAGATTTTAGCCTGGGGCCATGGTAGGCTGGTGGGACAGGCCAACTTGGCATCAGCTGAGGGGTCTTGGAGATAGAAGGGCCATCAGAAAGGACAGGAGAAGCAGAGGGTTCTCTGAGGAGAAGGCAAGTCCCCTCAGGGAGCCAGGAGGACGGGCTCAGAGGTAGGGCTGCTCCAGGGGCGGGTGGTACCTGCCAGTTGGTGCTGGGTTGTCCTCCATGTCTCAGCTCCTTCACCTTCTCTGCTGGCCACGGCCCGTCCTCCTCCTGTGATGCTTTCAAGGACCGAGGTGCCTTATATGCCATCAGAGCACCTGGAAACTGCTGAGCTGGCCCTGCTGCGCCCCACCCCTTCCCTAAACTCAGGCCACTCATGGCACCCACATGGAGTCATAGGAGAGGGAACTTTTCTGCCTAAATGTCTCATCCTGAGGAAGGGCAGGGCGGGACCAACATGAGCTGAGCTCTCCTTAGGAGCCACCCTGTAGGGAAAGGATTTGGACTCGGAACCTTTGTCCGCACATCAAACAGAGGAGAACAGAGAGGGTCCCAGCAGGGCAGCCAGGATGTCCTGGGAGCTGAGGATACAGGGTGTGCCCGCCTCAGGAAGGGGCCACCACTCGTCCTCTCCACCCCCAGCCACGAGGAGCCGAGGGACTTTGTGTTCCAGGCTCAAGTGTGACCTGTGAACAGCTGGTACAGTTTGTCCCCAAAGGGATGCGCCTCTTCCCACTGACTGCTGAGCTGGCTCTGCTGCACCCCACCCCTTCCCTAAATCAGGCCACTCATGGCACCCCCATGGGGTCATGGGAGATGGAAGTTTACTGCCCTCAGGGGCAAGTTAGGTTTTGATTTCTCTGTTCTGACAAAGGCCCTCCCTGGACTGACCTGGACCAGTGAGGTCCCAGGAGCTGGGGTCACTCTGGGCAGCACTGCACAGCCAGGCAGGAGGCCAGAGCGCAGGTGAGAGGACAGGTGCTCCCACCTGAGGAGGGTCTGGGCACAGGACACAGAGCCCCCACAGGACAGGCCCCGGGTGACCATCCCTGACTCTCACGCTGCCGCCAGTGCAAGGCATGGCCGGGCCCAGAGCAGGAACCTGCGGGGCTGAGCCAGGAGGGAGACTCTGCCCTGAGAGGAAGGGCAGGGCGAGACCAACGTGAGCTGAGCTCTGTTTGTGCATGTGGAGGGGCGCCCAGCCCATAAACAGGTGTCCCCTTAGGAGCCACCCTGTAGGGGAAGGAACTGGAGTTGGAGCCTTTGTCCGCCCATCACACAGAGGAGAACAGAGAGGCTCCCAGCAGGGCTGGGCCAGGATGGCCTGGGAGCAGAGGATGCAGGGTGTGCCCGCCTCAGGAAGGGGCTCCGCTGGTCCTCTCCACCCCCAGCCTCGATGAACAGGGGACTTTGTGTTCCAGGCTCAAGTGTGACCTGAGCCCCAGCTGGTAGAGTTTGTCCACGAGGGGATGCCCCTCTGTCCCACTGACTGTCCATCCGGCTCCTCTCAGACCACCCTGTGCCGGCCCCCCGCTCCCTCCCAGGGCACATACCCAGCTCAGGGAGGGCGGGGCCAGCCCCACGGAGTCCGACCCTGGCCGCCTGCACTGAGAACCAAGCTGCTCCCTTTCAGACCGGCTCCTCACATCGTTCACATGTAATACAGGGTCCCCCTCTTTATGGGCTGGGCGCCCCTCCACATGCACAAACAGGTGTCCTCTGCACCAAGCCCCTCTCACCTGCTCTGTCCTTGGACCTTGGTGGCCCTGGGAGCAGCCATGCTGTCCTGCTGGAGGCTCAAGGCTTTGCAGGCGTGGAACAGGCACATCCGGGTGTGTTGTGGCTTCTGCTAGATTTGCTACTTCATTGATCACGATATCCACCCAAACACACCGTCCCCCCCACCCCCGCGAGAAGTTTCCAGAGACCAGGCCTGGGGTCCCTGAGAATCTCCCCAGTGCTGCCCCCAGATCTTGCGTCCCAGGGAGGGAGAGTGGTGTCAGATCCAGGCCAGCTCCCCTTCTGCACCCCAGCGTCTCCTCCTGTCATGCAACCCACAAAGCGCTTCTAGTCCCCACCCCACCCCAGCACCAGAGAGCGGTCTCCTGGCACAAACCCTGTGCCAGGGCTCAAGTGTGAGGTCCCAACGCCCAAGGCCCTGTGCTCTGGGGGCCCTGGACAGTGGCACCGCAGGCCTACCCTGCCCCTTCCAGGTAACCCTACAGTCAGAGAGCAGTGCATGCCCGCCCGAGCGCATAAGGCTCTTCTGGGGCATCTATGGGACCCAGGAGGGGCCATCAACGCAGGGACAGAGCTGTGCTCCCCATACCCAAGGCAGGTCTCACCACCAGTCTAGCTCCTCAGCCAGCAGCTCTGAGGTCTCTTCTGGAATGTTCCCCAGGACCTCCTCCCTCCACACACCCTCTCCCCCCAGCCAGGTGTCCTGAGCTGCTCTCTGCTGATGCCTGGCTGCCCCTCTGTTATGCAGACCAGCCTGGCCCTGCTGGTCTCCACACCCGGGAGTCTGCTCTGCAGTGAGTGGCGAGTAGAGAGGCGGCTGGGAGAGCCATGGGAAGACCAGGGGCCGCCATGAGTAAGAGGTTTGCACCTCCTCCCAGAGGTTTCATGTCTTGTGTTGTTTGTCTGAGTCAAGTCTCCAAGGGGCAGGAGGAGAGGATGCCTGGGCGTCCCTCACCTCTGTCTTTGGGTCCCTGCCCTCCCCGGGCCCCCATCCACGCATCCTCTCCCTGGTTCCCCGGAGCCTGGCCCCCTGGGTGAGGAGAGGCGGGGGCACCTGCTCTTCCTCCCGGTCTCCCTCAGCCAGGCCAGCACCTGGTGTGGTAAAGGCATAGGTAGAGCCTCATGTTGAACTGGTTTAAAGCGGCCTGGCCCACAGCGACGTGGGGAGCGGGGAGCATGCCTCTTCCTGGGCCCGTGCGGTGAGAAGAAGGAAGGAAAGGAACCCTGTGTTTTCTGGGGAAGGACAGCCCCTCCCCATGTCCATCTCTGGAAGGTTGAGTGAAGAATGTAAAGCAATTCCTACATCCTTCTGGAGTTTTCCACCGAAATGTGCAAAATTCTGAACAGGATTAAGGTGCAAGCCGTGCTGGGATGTGTGCTGTTCCCCTGTCAGGGAAACGGGGGACAGGGCGGGGTGCCCCGGGGAAGCCCAGGCTGAGGTCAGAGAGCCAGGAGGGCCCACTCTGCCCCGTCGCTCTGGGCCTGGGATGGATGATCTGGATGTGTCTGGAGTCAGGGCCAGGCTGCTCTGTAGGTGGTGTCAGCTCTACCGTCCTGAGCCCCAGCCCAGCCCCGGCCTCAGCACTGTTCCCACGCTGTCCCGTTCTGTCTCCTGGTCTCGGGCCCTGGGCCGCGGGCAAAGCTCTGAGATGGGGGCCCGGGAGATGGGGGTGGAGCAGCACAGTAGGACCACCTGTCCTCTGCTCCGGGTGCCCCCTCTACGGGGACACGGCACCTTGTGGATGTTTTGGTCCCTTGTTCCCAGAAATGGAGATGGGGCCCTGTGTGGTTTGGCTCAGTGGATAGAGCGTTGGGCCTGGGACTGAAGGGTCCTGGGTTCAATTCTGGTCAAGGGCACATGCCCAGGTTGCAGGCTAGGTCCTCATAGCGGTTGTGCAGGAGGCAGCCAATCAATGATTCTCATCATGGATATTTCTAATCTATCCCTCTCTCTTCCTCTCTGAAATCAATAAAAATATATATATTTTAAAAAAACAAGAAAAAGAAATGGAGATGGGGCTCCTGTCAGAGCCCAGAAATGGAAAGGGAAGGAGCAGATGGGAGGTTGAGGTTCTTCCGGTAAAACCCACGTGGGGAGTGTCGACATCTCCTGTTTTGGTCAGAGAGGAGGGAGGCATCGGGTGTTTCCGGGAACCCTAACGTGGTTCCTTTTTGTCACGTGTGAGCGAGTGAGCCTGTGCCCCTTGCGTCTGGGCCGGGGATGGGCTGGGCCGGTTGGCACAGGCACAATTGGGGGTGAGGCCTGCTCTTCACAGATTTGTGGCTTTTCAGGTCCTGGGGATATTGAGGGGGAGCTGGCTGGTCTCACCACCCCAGGGTCACAGCCTGCAGACGGGGCAAGGTGTGCGGCCTCCCACAGCCCCCACGAAAGGGCGTGGGGCCCTTCTCCCTGGGAGTCCTCGGCCTCAGCCCCTGGCTGCCAGCGGGGCTCAGGCCCCTCCTCTGCTGGGTTTTCATCCTGACTGCCAGGAGCCGGCCAGTGGGGAGGGGACCCTCCGCACAGAGTCAACCCTCGACAATTGTGTCTATTTTTGTTACTCTTCAGTTACCAGCGTCCACCTGCTCCAGAGCCTCAGGCAGGGAGAGGGGAGCCTGTGATCCATCTGCAGAACAGGGTTTTGCATGTTGTTTTCTGCTCCCAAGAACCCCTCGACCCGGTCTCCCCTGAGTCCCGTGAGGACAGTGGCTGGAGGCTGGCTCTGTTCCTGAGGCCTGACAAACCGGAGAACTTGGCCTGTCCCCTGTCCCTGGTCCTCAGGTCTGACGCTCAATCCCCAAGAGGGGATATGCAGGAGGCAGCCAATAGAGGATTCTCTCTCATCGCTGATGTTTCTCTCTTTCACTCTCTCTCTCTCCCTCACTCTGTCTCTTTTCTGTCTCTCTCATCTCCCTTCCTCTCTGAAATCAATTTAAAAAATTTTTAAGTTCAATGAGAAAAATTTGAAGTTTTCACTTATCACACTAGCAGTCCATTTGCCCCTAGTCCTCAATATGTTATCATGAAAACTAAAGCTTTGATAAATAGTAGTCCGAAGCCATGGAAAAGGTCTTCCATGACCTTCCAAAAAAGCAATAATTCCATTTTTTTCAGAAGAAGAACAGAAAATTGCTTTCTAATGAGAAATTAATAATTCTTGTTACTAAAGGTGCAGGGGAGACCAAAGCTACAGAAGCATCATTCTAAGTTGCTCCCTCTTAAATGCACATAAAAGCCAGTCATACAATTACCAAGAAGACTGTAAACCTGCTGGGAAGATCATGATAAAGACTTTGCTCGGAGCCAAAACCGGTTTGGCTCAGTGGCTAGAGCATCAGCCTGCGGACTGAAAGATCCCAGGTTTGATTCCGGTCAAGGGCATATACCTTGGTTGCAGGCACATCCCCAGTAGGAGGTGTGCTGGAGGCAGCTGGTTGATGTTTCTAACTCTATAACCCTCTCCCTTCCTCTCCGTAAAAAATCAATTAAAATATATATTTTAAAAAAAGACTTTGCTAGGAGGGAAAGCCAGAAGGACTATTGACAAAACCCCTCTATCGGATGACACTGTTTTACGTTGCAGGCA